GTTTGACGAGTTCATCTTGCGCGTCGTGCGTTAGTTTGGTGCCCACTTTGTAGTGTTTGCATTTGAGCTCGTTTCATTTCAATATATAACCTAAAAGTCTTCGTGAATGTTGATAGTTGCCTTTTTTTCCACTTCCTTCTCCTTATCCTTTATCTCGTCCTCGTATTCATTTTTGTCTTCATTTTTATTTTTATCTTCACCCTCGTCCTCCTTTTTTTTCATCTCGTCGCGTCAGTCGTCTCTGCAACAAGTCAAGTCGACGAACGTAACGTTGCATAAAGACGTTCGTACATCCCGTACCTGTACCCGTCCCCGTCCACGTCCACGTTCACGGACAAGAAAACGGATATTTTCGACGTCAAGCAGTCATCGGGAAAGTAGTCAAAATTCCGGTCCCTACTAGGAAACAAGAGGGCCTCCAACAAACCGGCGGCAGAAATCCATCAACGATTAGCCAAGAACCATCAAGCAAAATGAACAAGAAGAGGAACCGTACGAATAATAACAGGTACTGCCAATCACTTGGCTTTCCTCGTCAAGATCATAATAGCAGGTATAATATCCAAAACATAGCAACACATAATGACGATTATCTACAAGAAAAAAATAACGTTTTTTTTTCGATCCATGCCTTTTTCCAGATCTCCGCGAGCACGTGGACCACAAGAGAGGAATGTCACAGCGGAGGGAGTTTATAACAATGCTCATTTTATGCATGCGGTTACTAGCCACGTTGGCAACACCGTACAGGTAGTGGATGACAGACGACTATGATATATAATATTATTCAAAAGAATAATTTGTACATACAATATGTTGCTGCTTGATTCAATGTTAAATTTTTTTCTTTGTTTTCTATTACAGATTCAAACTCAAAATGGCTCGGTGTATGAGGGCGTGTTTAGAACGTTTTCGAGTCAATTTGACGTAGTGTTGGAATTAGCTCATCGTGTAGAGAGTTCCGGAAAGATTTGCGTAGATAGCGTAGTAGAGAAATTAATTTTTAAACCACAAGACGTTGTTACTATATCTGCCAAGGATGTTGATTTAGATTATGCTATAAGAGATACTTTTCAAACGGACACAGCCATTAGTAAGTTTAATGGTTTGATCGGCGAGAAGGAACTCGAACCCTGGGATCCGCCGACTACCATGAACGGAGCCGATTTAGAATTGGACGGTGCTGCTGTAAGCGCGTATATTTATTATAATTACTTTAAGAGGACACTACTCATTATTACTATTAAACGAATTGTGTGTGAAATTATCTAAACGGTTTTTCTTTTTTTTTTTTAGAATGGTTGGGACGTCAACGAAATGTTTCGTAAAAATGAACAAGAATACGGAGTTCAAACGACATTTGAACCTTCTTTGGTCGGTTACACTTTACAACTACAACGTAAAGATACAAAAGATTACAAGGAACAAGAACAAAAAGCTGCTGAAATAGCAAATGAGATCGAATCTCAACCGAATCATAAAGCTAGATTAGAACTGGAAAACGGCGATGAGGAAGAAAGATTTGCAGCTGTGGTAAGATTCAGATTATATCTCGGAATTTCGTCTTTTTATCCATCAAACTTATCTTATTAGTTATCTGATTCTAGACGAGACCTACCGAAGGAAAATATATTCCACCGCCGTTGAAAAAGAAAAATGGTAACACTAGCAAATTGATGAGATCTAGCGAACCTCCGTCTTCGCCAGGAACCACAAGTAATAAGAATGTCTACAGTCAACCCCCTCCGTCCACGGTTACGGTGAATGTCCCACAACCGAGCATGTCGGTTGGAGTACAGCCTGCTCATACCTCGGTACAACATCCGGTATCCTTAAATATGAGTATGCCGCCCAATGGAGTGGTTGTCACATACAATAATCCACCACCGCCGTTTGTGCCTCCACCGACGACGCAGTCACAGCAAAGTATGTTATTTGATATTGCTTGCATCTTCTTGTAAACATGAAAATCGGACGGAATGCGTTATTTTTAATCTGTTCTTAAACAGATAATGCTTTGACTAAATTAACTTTGCAAAATTATCAACACATTGACAACGCTGCAATATATATCGCGTATATGCAGAAACAATTTTCAATTGATTACAGTTCTTTGTGTATATTTCTGTGAAATAATAAATAATAATGGCTCTTTCTTACATTACATAGCGAACGTGTAATGTAAGTTTTGATTTATATTTTCGTTTTCTCGATATAGTAATCCAGCAGAATCAATCACAATCTCAAGTTACTCCTTCGATGCCGCAAGTAAGCTTCCCATCACAACAACAGACACCTCCGAATAAAATAAATACAGAAAAACGTGAGCGACCTGGTAGACAAGTTTATCAAGCTGATAAAGCGCCACCAGCGCCATTTCCACAATCAAACGTTGCATCTTCTCAACAACAACAATCTACGCACCAGCAACATACATCATTGACGCAACAAAACTCTATAGAAGGGCAAATAGTTATACATAAATCGGATCATAGAAAGGTACGGTATATTTTCATTTAAATTCTTTTTTCTTTCATGAGGCAACTTATAAATTTTACTTTTTAAGGTTCCAACACCACGTGGAAGAGAAGAACAGCATTCGGAACTGAGACAATTTGCTGCAGAATTTAAATTAGCGGAATCGCAGGGATCTTCAGATACCCCTCAAATATCCAGAAAACAGCATCAGCATCAACAAGATGTGCATTCCGCTACCTCGATAAATCAACCGCATCACCAAGGTCCTCATCAACATACCAGTCCACAGCAGCAATCGCAGCAGCAACCACTTTCGCAACAACATACCAGTCCTCATCAGCAACATCAAACTGTACAAGAGGAACCAGTTACCAGTAAGCCTCCACCTGGTCCAATGGTAAGATCTACAAGTCCGCCTCAGCAACAACAACAACAGCAACCACCACCACCACCACCGCAGCAGCAGCAGCAGCAGCAACAACAACAGCAACAACAACAACAACAACAGCAACCACCTCCACCACCACAACCAACTCAAACGCCTCAAAATACTTCGACAGTGCAACAATCTCCATCAGAACCCGTGGTTGATAAGATAACTACTGCTTTTAAGAAATCTACTTTAAATCCGAACGCTAAAGAATTCAATCCAAATGCCAAACCATTCACGCCGGTAAGTAATGTACATTACTAGTTGTGAAAAGTTGACTTAAGCCTCTCTCTCTCTCTCTCTCTTTCTGTGTGTGTGTGTGTGTGCGCGCGCGCGCGCGTGTGTGTGTGTGCGCGCGCGCGCGTGTGTGCGTGTGTGTGTGTGTGCCCGCGCGCGCAAAAAAAACTAGGGAAATATTATAGTATATGTAACGTATGTTATAGTATGTTCCTAGTTTTTGATATACTTTCTTTTTCAAGAAAAGTTCCCTGGAATGGAAACAATATGATTTATATTTTTACAATGTGTAGCGCTCACCTAGCACACCGACGCCTAGTCGACCGCATACACCGCAAACTCCTCAGTATACAGGGGCGACTATGCCCGCGACCGTTGTTATGCCAGCATATGTAACGCCGACAGCTTTTAGTCAACCACCTACTCAACAAGTGGCAAGGTTCCGGAAGGGTGAGTATTCCTTGGATGATTCTTACACGATACATTTGTATCTCGAGTTTCTTTGTGCGTTCGTGATAGTATGAATATAGTAATTGTATGGTTCGTGAAGATTAATGTATAATTATCATTTTTTTCGATACTAGTAGAGATTTGAAAATTAATTTTGTTAATTTTATTCTGAACAATCTGTTTTTGCGTACGAATCTTACATTCAACAAATTTGAAATTGCGCTTCCTTCCAAGTTATTTTAAGATCAATTATAGTTTTTTTCTCTTTTGCTTCTGCCGATTGGCATAATTATACACGCACGCACACACATAAAATAGAATAAATATATAAATATATATATATATATATATTGTACGATTGTTACAGTACCTATGATGCAACATCGTGCGCCAGATATAGCGTCTCAGATGCAAGTGGCCGCAGCAACGGGACAGCCGTTATTAGCGCCAGCTATACATCCATTCCAGGTGCCTTATCCAGGACAACCGGCGTATCAACAAATGGTACGAATGGTCCAGGCACCGCCGCCACCTCATATGGCCACTCCGTATCATCATCACCATGACTCGCAAGGGCCACAAGCCCCCGGCATACAATATATGGGTCCGCACACTCATCCGCATCCTCATGTAGCTCAGCAGCCACCTAGCCAAACGCCGTCCCCAGCCAATCCGAATCAACCACATACACCGGGCGCTTATAATCCACCTGGTACTCCACAGCCTACTTATCCGCAACCTCCGCCGCAAGGTCACGCGCCAAGCTATCCGATTATGTGCCCTATAATTCCATCTCATATACCGTCAATTCCACCACAACACATGCAATACCTGCCACCGCAGCCACCTCCGGGTGCGCAGCAGACTATACCCGTCATTTTACCGCACAATCAGTAGCTGCGGCATAAATTAAAGGAAGAAAAGGAAGAGCAGCGATAGTATTCTGAAAAGGTAGGATAAGACTTTCAAAATTGAGTTACTTTCATGATGGCGTGTCAATTGTTGGAACTGTCTCGAAGAACCGCTCGCTTTAATTACACATTCTCGATTTATCGATCGCTAATCGATATAAATTATGTGCTAATCGATATAAATAAGCATCAGTCGTCAACTTTCTGCGTTGATGAGCAGTTTAAAATTATATAACTCTTGCATACACTTACTACTGGTTACAACGGAAAGAGAGGCCGATTATATATTTTCAGCCACGAATCAATGATATCCCGTATGGTACTATAAATGATTCTAAATGATTGGAGAGAGCGTTGACCATCTTGAAGGTAACTTGTTATTTCAAATGTAGGTCGATCGTTGAATGACCTATGGCCTGTATTATCGAGTCCCGTAAAAATCTTCTTGATTATTTTAATCAAGTTTTAAAATTGTAAAATGATAGTTTATCATTATGCAATTTCGCAAAATTCCCACGAGTTGACTTTTATCGGATTAGCATGCGTACCGGAGAAAGATTTAATGATCTTTTGGATCGTGCATTTTATCGAGTAGTGCTCAATGTATGCAGAAAATATAAACGCCGCTCGCGTTTAATTACAGACGTATTCAGCAGTTTTAATTTTCTCATACATACAACATAGCTTGCGTTACATTGTAATATCAAGTAACAACTCGGTGGAAAAACAAGATTGATCACGCGCGCGAGCGAATACTTTCTCCCTTTCCCTTTCTCTGACTTTCTCCCTCCCCCCTCCCCTCCCCCTCCCCCTCCCCCCATTCATTGTTTTTAATCGAGACGATTACTGAAATTATGGGAAAGAGAATAAGGTATATGGAAGTGCATGTGGCATATTTTTCTGCCCGCGACTGCGTGTCCGATTCCATTCATTAAGGAAGAACTCGGAGAAAAGAGGATAGGACGATCACACGACTCTTTCGAATTAGATTTGAATGAAGCAAGCGATAACTAACAAAACTGGAGTACGGTTTGCAGGGTAAAACGCTAGCGAGATATGCGATTCTGCGATTTGTTGATAATGAGTTTTGTTACGAGATGTTGATATGCGCAGGATCTTTGAACGTGAAAAATTACATCAAGTATGCGAGATACAACATTTGCATACTGACAAATCGTGCTAACGTTAACGGTGCGAACAGCAGACATTCGAGAGGTATATAATTTGCACGTTTTCACAGTCGAGTTTACTTACCAAGTTTTAACAATTGGTTTCACTAGTAAACTCTACATCTCGTGTTGCTACACCTACTATTTGCCAATGATTCGGTACTTTCGACTTGTTTTTCTTCTCATTTCCTCAACGATACCCGATAACAGACGCGAAATTTAATAACGAGAGAAGCACGTTGTTGCAGAAGGAAAAAGGAAAAAAAAAAGAAAAAAAAAGAGAGAAAAGCTCGATATTATTAGCTTTGTCGCTAGCTTCAGATTACTACTATTAGCTAAAGATTGGCCTCCGTATTATGTATGTACATGTGCGAGATGTAGGAAAGAAAACGTGGCGAAGCTTCATCATTTCTTATATTCAACAGTTATTACTTCATCATGCGACGCGTGTCATGATACATCCGTTAGTAATTTTAGCCATACTTAGCAGAGACTTGTAATTAGTGAAGTAATGCGATTTCTCGAATGACGAATTCTTCGCCCAATTATGTACCTCTTATTGACAAGTGAAAACGTGCGGATACTTGATACCATGGACTTGGAAATCTATCTGAACGTAGCGTATATACTGCCAATTAAGATAAGGGATGAGATCAGAAGTAAAAAGGACATCGGCATCGTATTTCACCATTTGAATTACATATGCGTAAACTCTGCTATGGCAGACTCTTTGTTCCGTTCGAAGATTTAACACAGAATAAAGAGGTTGCGCCGTACTCGCTCGATCAATTAGATTTGAAAGGATAATTTGATATTTGTCGCATGACGTGTAGAGTAAGAAATAATAAGTATGCGTGTATGATGTGTGAAAACATTTTCATTTGCGCATTGTACAGATGTCGAAATAAAGAAGGGGATAGGATAAAAAGATGAGAAGAGACTAGAAAAAAAACCATCGTTTTATTCCGAGCTAGATATATATATATATATA